TGAAATAATGACTGCTGTTAATGTTGTGTCTCCTGTGGGTCGAATACAGTCACAGAAATAAAAATCTAAATCTTATTCATCTCTGTCTAGTCCTGCTCCAGTTTACCTTTGCTCAAATATTTTTAAATCAATTGTAAACAACAGTGTTAAATAATTGTCATTTATTCAGAAGAACAGTCACAGCCAGGACCAACTAAAACTATCAAATATAGTTAATAAGCAAATAACAAGTTTAATAAATTTCAGATATCTCATTGCTCACTTCCGATCTCGCTGTCWCTCCATCGCTGCCAAATCTCATTCAACTTCCACCTCTTTTTATTTTTATCCTCCTGTATATTTTTTGCTGATTATCTAATATTTTCAGACTTCAGTCATAAAGGAGTTTGGGGGGTTTATGTTTGTTCGGCGTGTGGTGGTGGGGGGGGGGGGGAGACCAGAGGGTGGAATGAGGCCCCCCCCCATGAATCAGCCCTATTTTTCATCCTCCTGCTGCAACGTGCTTCAAATATGACAAACATTAATAAAAAAAGAGCCATAATTTTATTTAATTTAATATATAATTTAATCAGTGTATAAATATTTATTATTAATTCAGTTAGAATGATTGGAGCAGTCATAAACTACACAAGATATGGGCATTTTTTCAGATAGCAGATCCTCCACTTTTCCCTTCCTGACCTCCATCCGAACGTCGCGCTCTAGCGGCGCTGCATCATGACGTCACGTGAAACCCTCCTGTTCAATGACTGACACTGAACCAGTAATTCTGTGTTTTTACATGTTACCTTTTTAACTCGTTTACTACAGTCATTAAAACAATCACAAAACTATTTCATGTCCAAATAATAATAAAATAATTTAAAAGCATAAATATAATAATAACTAGAACTGTAAAGCAGTTATGACTGGGGTCCAAGCCCATTTATGCTTGTCCACCTTGGCCCATGTCATCCACAGCATCCTGTCGACATGTGCACCACAGAGTTGTAACATGATGAGTGTGTATAAGGTCTGTCTGAGGCTCTAATGTCTTAAATAGATCAGGTCTTTAAAAATAGGTTGCTCCATATGTCCTCTGTTGCCTTCTTTTTTGTCTTCTTTGTCTGACAAGTAGGATCTCAATATCTTCAGCTCTGCCACTTCAGTTTCTTTCTTAACATTTTTATCTTTGCCATTTCCATTTCTCTCTCTGACTGTTTTTCTGTCAATGTCACATTACATTTGAGTCTTTCATATTTTTTTTACCTTTGCTATAAAAACATTTTTTAGTATAACACCTGACACCTTTCTTTCTGCACTCATTCAGTCTTGACTGGAACTCTTTCCTTACCTTTGTACCATACTTCTAATATAGACTACATGTAGCCTAACTGTTCTACATGCCTCTCTTTTATTAACTCTCCAATCTGTGTGTGTGTGTGTGTG